CAGAAAAACCTAGACAAGGGTTGGGCCTGGGGCACTGGCAGGGCCTCTGGGAGAAAGGAGGTAGAGGGCCTGGACAGGTTGGGTTAGACTAAGAAATGGCAGCTGGCCTAACATCAAGGGCAATTCTGTATTGTCTCTTATTTCTGCCTGTTGGTCAGGACCTGCATGGGGGTTCTATGTAGTTCAGCCATCTTAGCTCAATTAACGCATTTCTGGCAAAAAGTAGACATTTTGCCAAAGCTTGTCCTAACAGGTATTGGGAAAGCGGAAACAGAGATCCAGGGAGACCCTCCAGGACACCCCCACAGTCTCAGGGCAACAGAAAGCCCTGGCTGGAACCAGGCCCTGCTTCTCAGCCTTATGGCTCCTCAGTTTCCACCTCTGTTCCCAGACAGTGGTCGAGTGACCATTCAGACTCAACTGTTCGTTATACCACCGGCCTCACTTGTCCAGGGGATGTGCTGTGATTCTGTAACACTAGGCTAGCCTTGCCTGTGACAACAAGCTAGCCTTATCACTGGTACTCAAGGAGCTTGAGACACAGACTTCTCTCAAAAATGGAAAGTGTGGCCAGGCACCAGTGGCTCATGCCTGTGCCTGTCATCCTAGCTACTCAGGAGACTGAGATCTGAGGATCATGGTTCAAAGCCAGCCCAGGCAGGAAAATCGATGAGACTCTTACCTCCAATAAACCACCAGAAAATTGTTTTTTGTTTTTGTTTTTGTTTTTTTTGGTCGGTCGTGGGGCCTGAACTCTGGGCCTGGGCGCTGTCCCTCAGCTCTTCAGCTCAAGGCGAGCGCTCTACCACTTGAGCTACAGCGCCACTTCCGGTTTTCTACCACCAGAAAATTGGAAGTGGCTCTGTGGCCAAGGTGGTAGGGCTCTTGCCTTGAGCTGAAGATCTTAGGGACAGCACTCAGGCCCAAAGTTCAAGCCCCATGACAGAAAGTGGCTGTGCACTCAAAAGTCCACCAAGGGCTATGTGCCAATCCATCTCAGTCTGATGGAATCAGAGATCTAGAGACATTACCCAAGTCCTGTGCTCAGAGATGGTGGACTAAGTGTCCTCAAGGATACGGCATTAGCTAGCTTTCTGTCACTGTAACAAAATTCTCCACAGATCAGAGCCAGCCCTGGCAGGAAAGTCCGTGAGACTCTTTTTTTTTTGGTCATGGGACTTGAACTCTGGGCTTGGGCGCTATCCCTGTGCTCTTCAGTTCGAGGCAAGCGCTCTACTGCTTGAGCCACAGTGCCACTTCCAGTTTTGTAGTGGCTTATTGGAGATGAGTCTCACCAACTTTCCTGCCCAGGCTGGCTTTGAACTGAGATCCTCAGATCTCAGCCTCCTGATTAGCTAGGATTATAGGCATGAGCCACTGGCTCCCAGCTTCGTAAGACGATTATCTCCAATTCACCACCAGAAAACCAGAAGTAGAGCTGGAGTTCAAAGTGGTAGAGCACTAGCCTTGAGGGAAAAAGCTCAGGAACAGTTCCAAAGCCCTGAGTTCAAGCCCCATGACTGACAAAAAAACTAAGCTAAACTAAACATAGATCTTCCCTAGGACCCAGCCATATCACTCTTGGACATCTACCCAGAACATCACAAATGAGGATACAATAAAGGCGCCTGCTCATCTGTATACATTGTTAAGTTACAGATAGAGCCCAGGCTCCCTAGAATAGATGAGTTGATCAAGAAAATGTGGTACACACACACAGTAGAATTTTATTATTAGGTCATTTGTAGGGAAATGGATGGATCTAGAACAAGTCATGCTAAGTGAGGTAAGCTAAGCTCAAAGAAAAAAATGGTGCATGTTTTCTCTCATTTGTGGAAGCTAGATCGAAAATATAACTGGACATAGTAACCTATACAGTCTAGCTACAGGAGGATACCCTGAGGGAGGAACCCAAAGGTGTAACTTCTCAGAAAAAAATAATTTTTTTTTCGGTACTGGGGTTTGAACTCTGAGCCTGGAGTCTGTCCCTGAGCTTCTTTTGCTCAAGGCTAGTGTTCTAGCCTTGAGCCACAGTTCCATTTCCAGCTTTTGCTGAGTAGTTTAGTGGAAATAAGAGTCTCACAAACTTTCCTGCTCAGGCTGGCCTTGAACCATAGTCCTCAGATCTTAGCCTCCTGAGTAGCTCAAATTACAAGCATGAGCCACCAGGACCCAACAATATTATAATCTCTTTCTTTCCTTCTTCCTTTCCTTCTTTTTGTTGGTTGTGAGGATTGAACTCAGGAACTGGGTCCTGTCCCTGAGCTTTTGTGCTGAAGGCCAGTGTTCTACCACTTGAACCACAGCTCCACTTCCTTTTCTGAGCATTTTATTTTGTTGGTCATGGGGCTTGAACTCAGAGCCTGGGCACTGTCCCTGAGCTCTTTTTGCTCAAGCCTAGCATAGCACTCCACTACTTTGAGCCACAGCACTACTTCCAATTTTCTGGTAGTTAATTGATTCTAAGAGTCTCCCAGAGTTTCCTTCCCAGGTTGGCTTCAAACCTTGATCCTCACATTTCAGCATCCTGAGTAGTCAGGATTACAGGTGTGAGCCCCCAGTATTTGGCTATTATATTTGATGGGCTTGGGAAGGTGGCTCAGTGGTAGAGTGCTTGCCTTGCATGCATGAAGCCCTGGGTTCAATTCCTCAGCACCAGATAAGCAGAAAAAGAGGAAGTGGGGCTGTGGCTCAAGTGGTAGAGCGCTGGCCTTTGGCTGAAGAGCTAAGGGACAGCACCTAGGCCCAGAGTTCAAGCCCCACAACAGACCAAAAAAAAAAAAAAAAAAAAGCTGTATTTGAAAAGATTATTTTGCTTTTTTAGTTAGTGGTAGGGTTTGAACTCAGAGCCTGGGCACTGTCCCTATGCTTTTTTTGGGGGGGTCCGGTCATGGGGCCTGAACTTTGGGGCTGCGTGCTGTCCCTCAGCTCTTCAGCTCAAGGCTAGTGCTCTACCACTTGAGCCATAGCCCCACTTCTGGCTTTTTTATTTTTGCTTACGTAGTGCTGAGGAATCGAACCCAAGGCCTCATGCATGCAAGGCAAGCGCTCTACCACTGAGCCACCTTCCCAGCCCCCTATTTTTTTGGGGGGGTCTGGTTGTGAGCCTGAACTCTGGGCCTGGGCGCTGTCCCTCAGCTCTTCAGCTCAAGGCTAGCACTCTACCACTTGAACCACAGCGTCACTTCCGACTTTTTGCTTATGTGGTGCTGGGGAATCGAACCCAGGGCCTATGCATGCAAAGCAAGCACTCTACCACTGAGCCACCTTCCCAGCCCCCCTGTGCTTTTTTTGATCAAGCCTAGAGCTCTACCCAGTCTGGCAGTTAATTGGAGGTAAGAGTCTCATAGACCTATCTGCCCAGGCTGACTTCAAACTGTGATAATCAGACCTCAGCCTCCTGAGTAGGTATGGTTACAGGATATGGTGCCTGGCTCACAGTTTATTTTTTTTTAACTCTATTGACACAAGATTCACATTCCTCACATGTCTGGCTGGTCACACACAGTACAGAGAAGTTACAATTGAAGTAAAAAACAAAACAATTACAGGAACTATCAATTCCAGGAAATATCAATATACAAGACAGAGGCAGCTGGGTTTGACATAAAGACTGCTTTTCCTCACAGCCCCCACGGCTTCACCTGTGACCTGTCCTGCTCCCTTGTCTGTGCTCCATGCCTAGGGGCGAGGGCTTGCAGGTGTCACGCTTCCACTAGAGACTTGCAGCAGGCTGGACAGAGCCCTGGGTAGTTCCAGGCAAGGACTAGCTTACTAGACTGCTGTCACTTTGTGCCTCCCTGGGTCCTCGAACAAAGCTGGGACAGGAGTGGAGGCCTAGGCTTGCCTTACCAAGGGACAAGCAGGAGTGGAGGGCTGGGGACGGCTTTCCACTAGATCCAGATCTTGCCGAGGTCCTGAGAAGCCCGGTGCTGGGATCAGAACCCTCTAAGCCCAGTGATGAGGTGTACTGTGTACTGAATCAGTGTGTGTGTGTGTGTGTGTGTGTGTGTGTGTGTGTGTGTATGCGCGCATATGCGTGCCCTCTGACCCTTGGCCTCAAGTTCTGGCAGAGCACCTGAAATCTAGTGCTGACACGGATTTTCCAGAATGACCACGAGCAAGAGCAAGGTAGGCACGGGGAGATCCGCCTCCAGGGGTGTCACAGGACTGCCCAGAGACCCTGCCAGGACTGAGGCTTGGCACTGATGTCAGCCCGAGCGAGCAGGTCTCTACTGCACATGTCAGCTGGCACCTCCCCGCCTAGCTCGGGGTCCTCCTTCATCTCCAGCGAGGGCAGGCAGGCCTGGCCGGTGTCCCCTGGCCCTGGAGGGGCGATCCCTGGTTGCATCGTCCTCTTCCCCTGAGGTGCGGTGCTTCTGGTGGGGCTGAGTACTGAGTCCAGCACCCCACTGGGCCGGGGTCTGCGCAGCAGGGAGAGGAAGGCAAAGGGGTAGAGGTCTGTCTGACCCTCGCCCAGGGAGGCCATCTCAGGCCGGCACCCCCAAAGACGCAGGAGCCCAGAACAAAGCAACATTTCCATCGCTCCTACCCGCACCCGGCCCGGGACGTGGGCGGGAGGGGCCTCCGAGCGCGGGGTGGGCGGGGCCTCCGAGCGCAGGGCGTGGTCAGTGTCCCCTCCCTCTTCTCAGGGCAGGCGTGGCCTCCCATGCTGCGAGGTGGGCGTGGCCTTTCCAGCGCAGGGGAGTGGGCGGGTCCTCCCAGCGCGGGAGGCGGGCCGAGCCGGAGGGAGGGGTCGCAGCCCCGCCGCCCGCCCCGCGGCCGGAGCTCGGTCTCCGCAGAGGCGGGCCTGTGGCCGCGCAGGAGTTAAGGGAGCGGGCAGAGCGGCCCCGCCTCCGTTGAGGGCTCGCGAGCGCTCGGGGCGCGTCGAGGAGGCGGCGGCGGCGGCGGCGGCGGGCGCGGTGACCGGCGAGCTCGGGCGGCGCGGCCCGCGTGACCCACCGCCGCGCCCGCGCCCCGCACGCCGGCCCGGCCGCACGATGCGCGCCTCGCCGCCGCCGCCGCCGCTGCTGCTGCTGCTGCTGCTACTGGCCGCCCGCGCGCCGCCCGCCGCGCCCGCCGCGCCGACGCCGCCGGGCCGGGAGCCGGCGGCCGACGCGCCCTGGTGCCCGTACAAGGTGCTGCCCGAGGGCGCGGGAGCGGGCGGCGGGCGGCTGTGCTTCCGCAGCCCCGCGCGCGGCTTCCGCTGCCAGGCGCCCGGCTGCGTGACGCGCGCGGCGGCCGGCGGCGCCCTGCGCGCCCACGTCCTGCGCAACCGCAGCGTGCTGCTGCAGTGGCCCGCGCCGGCCCGCGCGCGCGCCTTCGCGCTCAGCTGCTCGTGGCGCGGCGCCTACGCACGCTTCCCGTGCGAGCGCGTGCTGCTGGGCGCCGCCTGCCGCGACTTCCTGCTGCCGGCCGTGCACGACGGCGTGCGCTACCGCGTGTGCCTGCGGCCGCTGCGGCGGGGGCGCGGGCCGGGGGCCTCCGCGCCGCCCTCCGCCCCGGACCCCGCCCTCGACCCCGCCCCGGACCCCGCCGACCCCGACCCCGACCCCGACTGCGTCGAGTTCACCGCCCAGCCCGCCGCCATGCAGGACATCGTGGTGGCCATGACGGCCGTCGGCGGCTCCATCTGCGTCATGCTCGTGGTCATCTGCCTGCTAGTAGCCTACATCACCGAGAACCTCATGCGCCCGACCTTCCGCCGGCCCAGCCGGCGCAGGCAGGCCTGACGCCGCCCGCCCGCCACCGGAGACCCGCCCTCCGCCCGCCGGGCCCTCCGCCCGCCCGCCTCCTCGAGGATGCCCGCCGAGGCCCCGACCCAGCCGACCCGGGGACCGACCCACCGACCGACCGGCGGCCTCACCGCGCGACCCCCTAACCGGCCCCCGCCGGGCTTCTGCCCTCCGGGCGACGGTCCCGCCCGCGTCCCACAAAGGCCTTTATGGGGGCTGCTGGGCGCACGGCCGCCCACGCCAGGGCCATCGGCCTCTGGGACGCCACCCGGAGCCTCCATCCCGTGCCAGGTCGGCAAAGCCGGGCCGTCGCCGCAGCTTGGGCACTTGGTGCTCCGCAGGTCGGGGCCGGGCGCTTGGAGCCCGTCTTCCCCCACCCTACCCCAGTGGGCTTAGGTTAGCTTTGTGCCTTAGAACCTCCGGCCCGCTGCTGGAGCCAACCACTCTCCCTCTGCCGTCGAAGGGGGGCGGGGCGGGAGGGCCCTGAGGTTGGCTGGTTTGTGCATGCTTCCGGCCAGGGTCCCCCTGGGGACATCTCGTCTTTGAGCTTTGCAGGGTCCCGGGGCAGGGCTTCACAGGCCCTGTGGGGTCTTCGAGCCCAGAGCCACCACGTAGCTGAGTTCCGCATCTGACTGATGCTTGGGAGGGGGCTGATGGGGCTGCAGGACCAGGCCCCCCTTCCTTTGTGTGTACTTCCAGGATTAGGGATTTCTGTGGAGATGGGAGCAGGTGGTTGGGAGGGCAGCACTGGGGTCCTGGGGGCAGGAGAGCTGCCAGTGCTGGACAGCCGGGTCCCGCGCTGGCGTGCTCCCTGTCGTCTGCCGAGTCACAGTGTGAGTCACTGCACTACCCCCCCTCCCCCTTTCATATTTGGGAGTTAAGAGCCCAGGATCTAGCCTGAAGTGCTGCCTGCCCACCCACCATGGACCACAGTTTGGCTTTGCCCACCTCCTGGCAGACCTGAGCCCCTGGTGATGTTGGGCTTCTGTAAAGGTCTGGCACTGCCTGACTGAGCTTCTAGCTCTGACCACTGGACTTGACTCTGGCCCCTCTGGGTCCCTGTGGCTAAACCTTATCCTCATCCCAGCAACCACTGTCCTCCTGGGCTCCAGTTGGGACCCAGCAGCCCTGACACCCTACCTCTCTGTCTTTGCTCTGCCCACCCATGTGGCTCTGATCAGCTGCAAACCTGGCGCCAATATCTAAATGTCCCTCATTCTTAGACTGAAAACAAGCCTTGCGTGTTTATTTGGGTAGTGGGAGGGAAGGTGGACGCTGCTGCCTCAGCACCTCAGTCCAGTGGCTGGCCCTGAACCCTCTCCCGCATGGGCTGGGGGTCAGCCCCAATCAGGGTGGACTGGTCTACTGAATGGCAGGAGGACAGCCTATTCACAGCCTGCCTGTCCACCCTCAGACCTTAGGAAAGCTGCTCTTCCTGGGCCAGCTGTGTTGAGCAGAGGTGGAGAGGTGGCGCTTGCTTGGGTTAGAAATAGCCTGGACTCATGGTGACCCACTTGAGCGGTGACAGGCAGCAATTAGGCTGCTCCAGGGCTGTCTTTCCTCAGACTGGGGCCTCCCTGTGCAGTGGTAGAGGTGGGAGTTGGGGGCCGAAGGTAAGCCAAGGATCCTGAGAGCCTGTATTGAACCTTGACTGTCCTTGGGACGCCCTGGAGCACCTGTGACCCTGGGGAAGGAACAGGAGGGAGGTGGGTGAGTCAGCTACTGAGTGACTCATCTGGAGTGGGGTGGGGGGGGGTTCAGTGCAGTGTGTGTCTAGCCAGCTGGGTCCAGCTACCTCCAACCTTAGCTCCTATGGAACGTGTTAAGGTATCTTCAGCCTGCAAGAGCAGAAAGCCCCAGGCAACACCCTAGCTTCTAGCCCTTAGATACAGTTGGTCTCCAGGTTTGGGCCACCCAGCCCATGTGGGAGCTGAAGTTCCATGTGGTCTCTGGGACGCATGACCTGGTTGAGTGTAGGCTTCTGCCAGCAGGACCATAGAGCTATCCTGTCAGCCTAGGCTGATGGGTTTTCTCAGAGGTTACTGTTGCGTTTGAAGAGGAGGAGCATAAGCAGTACAGCCCTGAATGCAACAGCAAGCAAGCCTTGGAAACTGAAAAAAAAAAATGTGTTGGTTGTGGGGCTTGAACTCAGGCCCTGGGCGCTGTCTCTCAGCTCTTCAGCTCAAGGCTAGCACTCTATCACTTGAGCCACAGCGCCACCTCCGGTTTTCTGGTGGTTTATTGGAGATAAGAGTCTCACAGACTTTCCTGCCGGGGCTGGCTTTGAACCATGATTCTCAGATCTCAGCTTCCTGAGTAGCTAGGATGACAGGCAAGAGCCACTGGCGCCTAGCTCCTTACTGTCTTTTATTCAAGCGTTGCTGTAGCTGTACCACTTTGAGCCACAATTCTTTTTTTTCAAGTCCTGGGGCTTGAACTCAGGGCTTGGGCACTGTCCTTGAGCTCTTGCTCAAGGCTAGCACTCTACCACTTAAGCTACAGCACCACTTCTGGTTCTGCTTATGTGGTACTGAAGAATCAAACCCAGGGCTTTATGCATGGTAGGCAAGCAATCTACCACTAAGCCAAATTCCCAGCCCCACTTCTGATTTTTGAGTGGTTAATTGGAGTCTCACAGGGACTTTTCTCTCCAGGCTGGTTTTGAACTGGGAACCACAGATCTCAGCCTCCTGAGTAGCTAGGATTACAGGTGTAAGCCATCAGTGCCAGGCAACAGCCTGCTTTTACATTCAGGATCATTCCCACATACCATTCTTCCGCCAAGTGGCCATCTGAGGCTGGTCCCTCCATCCTCCCAGGGCAATCTGGCTCCTGAACCTGGTCTACCTCAGAGGCTCAGTCCATCCCATCCCACTACCTCCTACAGGCACTGTTCCTTCTCCATCAAGCTCTGTCTCTTAACAGCCTCTGCTGTTCTTTAGTTGAGTACCGTATTGAATAATGCAGTTCTAGATATTTGCTCCTCTGCTTATTAACTTTGTCATGTATATAGTTGGTATTTCCACCCCCCCCCCTCCAGGGGTGAGTCTTAAATTTTAGCCCAGTGCCTGTGGCTCACACCTGCAAACCTACTTTCTCAGGAGGCTGAGATCTGAGGATCAAGGTTCAAAGCCAGCCTGGGTAGAAAAATCCAGAAGACTATCTCCAATAAACTGGAAGTGTGATTCAAGTGGTAGAGCACCAGCCTTGAGTGGAAAGAGCTAAGTGAGAGCATGAGGCCCTGATTTCAAGACCCAGCCCCAGGGGGGAAGATTCCTTGAACATGCAAAGAATAGGAAAATCTTCCCCTATGCTTTCCTTGGTTGGCTTTGATTTTAGCATTTCATATTTAGGGCTTTTTTTGGACCAGTCATGGGGATTTGCTCAAGGCTAGCGCTGTACCACTTTGAACCACAGCACTACTTCTGGCTTTTTTCCCCCTTCTGTTTTAATGTACTGAGGAACTGAACTTGACTTCATGTGTGCTCAGCAAGCATTCTACCACTAAGCCGCATTCCCAGCCCATATTTAGGTCTTTTAATCTTTCTAGAAGTCATCTGTGGAATATGGAGTCCCATTTTATATCATATGGAAAACCGATTTTGCTAATGCATGGCACAAAAACAGCCCATCCATCTTCAGTGCCGTGTGCTTTCTCACATGTGCATGGACCTATTTGGGGCTGTTCTGTTGGTCTGTATCCTACAGCATTACTATATTACCTTAGTATTGTAACTTTCATGCTTCTAAGAAGTTGCCCGCCTTTTACTTTTTCAAAAATTGAGACTTCTAGCCAGGTGCCAGTGGCTCACACCTGTCATCCTAGATACTCAGAAGGCTGATATCTGAGCTTCACAGTTCAAAACCAGCCCAGGCAGGAAATTCCATGAGACTCTTATCCCCAATTAAGCACTATAAAACCAGAAGTGGTGCTGTGGCTCAAAGTGATAGAGTACTAGCCTTGAGTTGAAGAGCTGAGGGACAGCACCCAGGCCCAGAGCTCAAACCCCACGACTAAAAAAAAAATTGACACTTCTGGGCTGGGAATGTGGCTCAGTGGTAGAGTGCTTGCCTTGCATGCATGAGGCCCTGGGTTTGATTCCTCAGCACCACATATTGCAGAAAAAGAGGAAGTGGCACTGTGGTTCAAGTGGTAGAACACTAGCCTTGAGTTGAAGAGCTGAGGGACAGTGCCCAGGCCTAGAGTTCAAGCCTCACAACCGACCAAAAAAAAAAAAAAAAAAGACTTCTGTTTCCAGTCAAATAAGTAGCTTGAAAGAAAACTCCATTTAGTCCGTGAAGGAGGCAAGTACACTGGACAATAACAGAGGGACTGAACCTGAAAGGGCAGGCATGAGTGATGATTCACGGAGAGGTTTCAGAATGTGGGGGGTCTCCCCCATGGAGGAAACGGAGCTAGGGCTCCAGGGAGTCCTCAGGACAGAACCTGGAGAAGGAATTTTGGAAATCTTCAGCTTCGTGCCAATTGGAGCAAGAAGGAGAGGGAATCTCACAAGGTAGAGGAACAAAAAGAAAAAATCTAAAAACCAACTCAGGACTTCACGGACATAAAAACTTAGCTGCCTGAACTTGTCCCTGGCTTACTAACACTTAGTTCATTTTTCATCCTTTTCTAGTTTTGTACAGTTGTGTGTGTGCACACGTGCGCCCATGCCAGTAGTAATGCTTGAAATTAGGGCCTTGCACTCTTAGCAAAGCCACGGTTGGTGCTCTACCACTTGAGCCATATTGCCACTTCAGCTTTTTAGTGGTTAATTGCAGATAAGACAGATTTAGTTGGGTGCTGGTGACTCAGGAGGCTGAAATCTGAGGATGGCAGTTCAAAGCCAGCCTAGGTAGCAATATCTGTGAGACACTTTTCTCTAATAAACTCAGAAAAACCTGGAAGTGGACCTGTGGCTCAAGTGAAGAGTTAGCCGTGAGCACAAAAAGGCTCAAGGACGATGCCCAGGACTTGAATTCAAGTCCCAGGACTGGTAAAAATAAAAAAAATAAACTTCACAGATTTGCTGCTCACAGCAGGCTTTAAACCTCCATGCTCACATCTCAGCTTCCTCAGTCGCTGGGATTACAGACTTGAGCTACCAGTGCAAACTTGTGTTTTGTAGTTTCTTTTTTGAGTCAAGGGGCTTGAACTCAGCATCTGGGTGCTGTCCCTGAGCTCTTTGCTCAAGGCTAGTGCTCTACCAACCACTTTGAACCACAGCTCCCCTTCTGGTTCTCTGGTGGTTAACTGCAGGTAAGAATCTCAATCCTCTGCCTAGGCAGGCTTTGAATCCCAATCCTCAGATACCAGCCTCCGGGATCAAGATCCTCAGGTCTCAGCCTCCTGAGTAGCTAGCATTACAGGTGTGAGCCACTGGCACCTGGCTAAAGTGTGTAATTTTCATCTCAGACATAGCAGCATGATCCAAAGAGGAATTTAATAAACTTTATTACAAATTTAAAGATTTAGCCTTTATTACAAATTTAAAGATTTAGCTGGGTGCCAGAGGCTGAGATCTGAGGATCGCGGTTCAAAGCCAGCCCAGACGGAACAGTTGGGGAGACTTTTGCCTTCACTTAACTGCCACAAAATCAGAAGTGGCGCTGTGGCCCAAGTGGTAGGGCGCCAGTCTTGAGAGAAAAAGCTCTCCAGCCCCAGGAATCTTCATTGACTTTTTGCCGGTCCCGGGGCTTGAACTCGGCCTGGGCGCTGGGCCTCAGCTCTTTGCTCAAGGCGAGCACTCTACCACTTGAGCCACCGCGCCACTTCCGGCTTTTTCTTTTGCTAGTCACTGGAGACAAGAGGCCCACAGACGCCCCGGCCCGGGCTGGCGGGGAACCGCGAACCCCAGATCTCAGCCTCCTGGGTGGCTGGGCAGTGTGGGGGGGGGTCTCCCTAGAGTGAAGACAAAAACAGGATTTTTCGGAGAAAGTAGGAGATAGATTCCGTGGCTTGGGGCAGCGGCGGAAGTGCAGGACCGGGAGGTGTAGCGGGCCTCCCGGGAGGCCGCACGGAGAACCGGGAGCGAACCAGACCTAGAAACGGTCGTGCGCCACCAAAACTTCCGACTGCGCAGGCGCGAGGTCCGACGCGTTACCCCAGCAACGGCGGCGAGTCCCCGGAGCCACGGCACCGCCTCCCGAGTCCTCTAGGTGCCGGCTCAGGTGTTGTGACGTCAGACGCTGGCGGCGACCTGGCGCGCGGCGCGCTGAGGGGCGCTGCTCTCGGCTCCCCGCCTTGGGTAAAGGCTCGGCGTTGGCCCGCCGCCCACCCACGCCCCGCGCGGCGCGGCAGCTCCGAGCTCCCCGAGCTCCCCGAGCTCCCCGGCTCCGGCGCGTCTGAGGGCCGGCCGGGCGGCGTTTCCGCCCGTTGCGTCGTCCCAGCTTCCGCGTCGTCGACTTCCGCTGGCCGCCATCTTGCGGCGGCCGAAGGCTGCGGGTTGGTGGGCGCTCAGGTCGCCGCGGTGCACCTTGCGGCCGCCGTCATGCCGTCGTCGCCGCTGCGGGTGGCGGTGGTGTGCTCGAGTAACCAGAACCGGAGCATGGAGGCTCACAACATCCTCAGGTAGTGGGGGTTCCGCCGCGGCCTCGGCCTCTCCCCGCTCCCTCCCCACAGGTCCCTCCACCGGCCGGGGCGCCGGGGCCGGCGGCTCGCGGAGGAGGCCCGCGGGTCGGGCGGCGCCCGGCGCGCGGGGGGGAGGCCGCGGGCTGCGGAGCCTCCCCCGGGGTGGGCGCCGAGGAAGCCGGGGCCGGAGCCAGGAGCCCCCGCAGCTCGAGTGGCGTGTGAGAAGGGGCGGCCCCCGCGTCCGGGGCCGTTGCCAGCGAAGTCCGGGTTTTCCGGGGCGCGAGCCGTGCCCTGGGCTGGTCGTCCTTCCACTTTCCCCGCACAGCTCGCGCCACGGCGTCTCTTGAGGGAACGCGGGTGAACATAATGGCAGTGTCATTAATCGCTGTATTCCGTACTGTTGGCTTTTGCAAGAATCACGTAAATAACCGTCTCCCCATCCTGTCCCCAAGGCCTCCAGTCAGTCATTTCTGCAACACACGTGAATTTGGTTACGTAGTAGTAGTTCGAATTTCGTTACGTTTTTTCCTTTCTTTTTATTTATTGTTGTCTTAGAGGTGATAATACAGTGCGATTACCTTTATATATGTTCTGGGGCTTGAACTCAGGGCTTGGACTCTGTCCTTTAGCTTTTTCTTTTTGCTCCAGGTTAACACTCTACCACTTGAGCCACAGCTCCACTTTCTGCTTTTTGGTGACAGTTGTAGGTAAGAATCTCATGACCCTTCCTGCCAGGCTGGAACTCTCTTCCTTAGCTCTCAGCCTCCTGAGTAAGATTATATTGGCCCAAGTGTTGTGTGTCTTATAAAATGTTATTACTGCCAGATAGATTTATTTTTGTTCGAAAAATCACTTGACAAGGGGCTGGGAAGGTGGCTCAGTGGTAGAGCGCTTCCCTTGTATGCCTGAGATCCTGGGTTCGATTCCTCAGCACCACATAAGCAAAAAGAAAAAAGCTGGAAGTGGCGCTGTAGCTCAAGTGGTAGAGCACTAGCCTTGAGTTGAAGAGCTGAGGGACAGCACCCAGGCCCAGAGTTCAGGCCCCATGACCGGACCCCCCCCCCAAAAAAAAAAAATCACTTGACAAAATGAGAAATTAAAGCCTCACATTTTGTCACTATCTCGTAGCCCACCTTAGCCTCTGACTTACGATCTTCCTACTTATCTAGTGTAGGAAATACAGATATGAGATACCACATTCAGTACCCTTTTTTGTTGTTGTTGCCAGTCCTGGGACTTGAACTCAGGGCCTGAGCAGTGTTCCCAAACTTTTTTTTTTTTGGATCTGGTCGTGGGGCCTGAACTCTGGGCCTGGGCGCTGTCCCTCAGCTCTTCAGCTCAAGGCTAGTGCTCTACCACTTGAGCCACAGCGCCACTTTCTGCTTTTTTCTTTTTGCTTAGGTGGTGCTGAGGAATCAAATCCAGGGCCTCAGGCATGCAAGGCAAGCATTCTACCACTGAGCCACCTTCCCAGTCCATCCCAAACTTCTTTTGCTCAAGGCTAGCATTCTATCACTTGAGCCACAGTGCCACTTCCAGCTTTTTCTGTTTTATTTGGTACAGAGGAATCGAACCCAGGGCTTCATGAATGTGAGGCAGGCAAGCACTGTACCACTAAGCTACATTCCAGCCCTCTTTTTTTTTTTTTCCTTGTCAGTCATGGAGCCTGAACACTGGGCCTGCACGCTGTCCCTCAGCTCTTCAGCTCAAGGCTAGCATTCTACCACTTGAGCCACAGCACCACTTCTGGCTTTTTCTGCTTATGTGGTGCTGAGATATCGAATCCAGGCCTCATGCATGCAAGGCAAGCACTCTTACCACTGAGCCATCTTCCCAGCCCCTCATCTGCAGATTCTGAGCTTAATTCTTCCTAATGAAGCCAGTTGCTCTTGGATCAAACCTGTAATCATAGATACTCAGGAGGCTGGGATCTGAGAATTCCATTTCAAAGCCAGCCTGGGCAGACAATATAAGAGACTCCAATTAACTAGCAAAATGTGGAAGTAGAGGTGGCTCAATGCCAGAGCACCTATCTTAAGCAAAAAAAGCCATGTGAGACCATGAGTTCAAACCGCAGTACTGGCACATACATACAATCTTCCTAATGTTTTTCACACTGTAATCATTTAGTGTTTCATTTTGTTTTGCAGATTGTGGTATGCTTTGAATATAACAAATCAAACGTTCAAATGTGAAGATTGTTTTTAATGTGCTAGAATTACACTGTAATTCTAGTAATGTGCTAGAATTACGTTGTTTTTGGGTCTGCATTTTTATAAACTTCATTTGTGCTGGGTGCTAGTGGCTCATGCCTGTTATATTCCTAGCTTCTCAGGAGGCTGAGATATGAGAAACCTGGTTTGAAGCCAGCCTGGGCAGGAAAGTCTGTGAAACTCTTACCTCCAGTTAACCACCAAAATGCTGGAAGTGGCGCTGTGGCTCAATGTTAGATTGCTGTCTTTGAAGGAGGGACAAAACAAGCTTGGTACAGCCTGTAGACCTTGGATTCAAGCCCCAGAATAAGCACCAAAAATGCATTAATAAATAAATAAATACACTATATTTGTGTGCTAAACATACCACTTTTAAAAGAAAAGAATGCAAGGTTTTTGCCCTTGGAAAATTGACCAAGGAAAACAAATGTACTATCTTTTATTGGCTGGAACACCTCTTAACTGCTGTGGACTCTGTTTTAAATATATCTTTTTTAATGTTATTATTTTATTTTGTTGTTGTTGTTGGTCCTGGAGCCTGAACTCTGGGTCTAGGCACTGTCCCTCAGGTCTTCAGCTCAAGGCTAGCACTCTACCACTTGAGCCACAGAGCCAACTTCTGGCTTATGTGGTGCTGAGGAATCAAACCTAGGGCCTTATTCATGCAAGGCAAGCACTCTACCACTGAGCCACCTTCCCAGCTCCTCCTGGACTCTGTTTTAAGTACTTCTATGTATAATATGTCAGGATAGAATCTCAGAAAATATTTTAAAAACATTTCTTCTCTTTATTTTTTGTCAGTCATGGGGCTTGAACTCTGAGACTGAGTGCTGTCCCTCAGCTCTTTTTTTTTTTTTTTTTTCTGGTTGTTCATGAGGCTTGAACTCTGGGCCTGGGCGCTGTCCCTCAGCTCTTCAGCTCAAGGTGAGCGCTCTACTGCTTGAGCCACAGTGCCACTTCCGGTTTTCTGGTAGTTTCTTGGAGATAAGAGTCTCACTGACTTTCCTTGCCCGGGCTGGTTTTGAACCGCGATCCTCAGATCTCAGCCTCCTCAGTAGCTAGAATTACAGGCGTGAGCCACCAGTGCCTGGCTGTCCCTCAGCTCTTCAGCTCAAGGAGAGTGCCTTACATTTGAGCTACAGCGCCACTCAGGATTTCTGGTGGTTTATGGGAGATATGAGTTTCACGGCCTTTCCTGCCCTGGCTTTGAATGGTGATTGTCAGATCTCAATCTCCTGAGTGGATGGGATTACAGGCAGCACCAGCGCCCGGCTTCAAATTTCTTCAATTTATTAGTGAAATATATTTAGTCACCGTATTCAAATCATGCTAACCTAGGGGCTGGGAAGGTGGGTCAGTGGTAGAGTGCTTGCCTTGCATGCATGAGGCCCTGGGTTCAATTCGTCAGCACCACATAAGCAAAAAGAAAAAAGCCGGAAGTGGTGCTGTGGCATAAGTGGTAGGGTGCTAGCCTTGAGCTGAAGAGCTGAGGGACAGCGCCCAGGCCCAGAGTTCAAGCCCCACGACTGGACCCAAAAAAAACAAAACATCATGCTAATCTAGTACTTAACTAAGAAAATTATGGAAGATAAGTTATTACTGCTGGCAACTGGAAAGGCTCCTCTGGAAAGGTATAGTGATGGTACAGAAAATTCTCCGAGTAATTACCATGTGGAAATAAATTCTTTTTTTTTGGGGGGTGGGGGGGGTCAGTCGTGGTGGCTGAACTCTGGGCCTGGGCACTGTCCCTCAGCTCTTCAGCTCAAGGTTAGCGCTCTACCACTTGAGGCACAGCGCCACTTCCGGCTTTTCTCTGCTTATGTGGTGCTGAGGAATCGAACCCTGAGCCTCATGCATGCAAGGCAAGCATTCTACCACTGAGCCAACTTCCCAGCCCCAGAAATAAATTCTTGCATGTGTTTTGCTATCTTTCATGTCTCACAAGAAGATGCATCTGGGCACCAGTGGCTCACGCCTGTAATCCTAGCTACTCAGAAGGCTGAGATCTGAGGATTGCGGTTCAAAGCCAGGCTGGGCAGGAAAGTCCATGAGACTCTTATCTCCAAGAAACCACTTGAAAACTGGAAGTGGCACTGTGGCTCAAGTGGTAGAGCACTTGCCTTGAGCTAAAGAGCGCAGGGACAGTGCCCAGGCCCAGAGTTCAAGCCCCATGACTGACCAAAGAACAAAAAAGAAGTAGATGCAGAGTAGAGTTAAAGGAATTAATATGTAACATGGGTTTATTTGATACCAGTATTTTTTTCCTCTTGAGATTAAACCCAGAGTTTTGGTATCTCTACTAAAACACACACATTTAACCCCAGGACAAGGCTCCTTAATTTCTTTTTTCTTTTCCTTTTTTTTTTTTTTTTTGTTGGTTGCAGGACTTGAACTCGGGGCCTGAGTGCTGTCCCTCAGCTCTTCAGCTCAAGGCTAGCGCTAGAGCTCTACCACTTGAGCCATAGTACCACTTCCGGTTTTCTGACTGGTTAATTGGAGATGAGAGTCTCATGGGACTGGCTTTCCTGCCTGGACTGGCTTTGAACCATGATTCTCAGATCTCAGCCTCCTGAGTAGCTAAGCTTACAGGCGTGAGCCACTGGTGCCTGGTTGAGGCTCCTTAATTTCTAAATTGCATACACACACACACACACACACACACATACACACACACACATATATATACATGTACATATATATATATTTGTTGTTGGTCGTGGGGCCTGGACGCTGTCCTTCAGCTCTTCAGCTCAAGGTGCTTTACCGCTTGAGCCACAGCGCCACTTC